TACATGCTAACATACCACAGATGTGCCCCTGTTCACCTAGTCACACAAAAACAACTGTGTGGTTGTACATCATCACCTGAAACTTGCAGGTGATGGCACAGTGACACATGATGTTGAGGGTACACTTTGCACACAGCTCTGCACTGTCTGGCTCCCAGCTCTGGGGCCTTTACCTCTGATTCTCCTGAGAGCTTGCTCTGCCCCCTCGTGGCCATTCCCCTAGCCACTGCCCTTCGGCAAGGACCCTAATCATCCACTCCCTTGCAGGCATGGTTCCAGCCCAAAGAAGCTTCCAGCCTTTTAAACAGCCTCTCCCCTCAGAGTGGCACTGTCAAACCAGAATCCCTCAGATCCACTAGCTCACAGACTGACTCTCCCATCAGACTGGCACTGTTAGGCAAGGCCTTCTCAAATAGGACTGGGACTGAGAGGTTTCCCAGGACTTGAGATATTCAATGCTAAACTGAGAAAGTCCCAGGCCAACTAGGACTAGTTGGTGATCCTGTTCTCAGACCTGTATGCTTTCAGAGTGGTGTCTCTTTAGACTGGACCCTTCAGACACTCAATCACTCTACCCCCTCAGACTGGACCTTCCAACCAAGAGCTGTATAGCATGTCCCAGACCAACCTCCCCTCAGACTCATCCTGTCCCACTGGCCCACTCACCTTCAGGTTAGCTTTCCCCATTGGAGTACCCCTGTCAGATGAGTTCTCCTCCAGCTTCTCCTCAGGCTGGCTCAATCAGACTCCCCTCCTCAGACCTCCTTCCTCTCTGACCTCCTCTGAGAGGGAAGGGTGTGATGAATACACCCCAATCTTTTCTGCCACCAAGCACTTCATTCTTTTCATGTAAGATGAACTTTCCCAAAGTCCCAGTCTAGGGAGTTAATGAGCTCACCCATTGGCTCTGGGGAGCTCACAGGGCCAGAGGCTGCCCCAAAGGGACAGCCTAGTGTCTCCTAACCACCTTCCTCTCTCCTGGCTGGCTGCTGGGAGGCAGATGTGGGCTTAGGGGGCTGATAGCCGCCTGGCCGGGAGCAGGAATGAAGGGCAGGCAGGTGGCCGAGAGGGGGCAGCAGAAACCAGGACAGCCTCCAGCTCAGGCCAAAGAGGCACAGTGGCCTCAGGCTGGGGTCTGGACCAGGGCAGGAACACACAGAGGGAGGCAACGTGAGGAAAGGCAAGGAGAGTCAGGAAAGAGGAAAAGAAACACAAGATGGGGTGGAGATAACATGCAGAGACAGAGAGAGGCACAGATACCAAGATGAGGATTGACACACAGAGACAGACCAGGGAGGAAGGTAGGAAAGGGAAGATTGAGAGATAGGGAGGAGAGACAGAGAGGCAAAGACAGGGATGGAGACAGAGACAGGAGTCAGAGACATACACAGAGGAGGAGACAGGATAGAAACACTCAGAGAGAAACACAAGGATAGTAACCAGGACAAAGACTTGTTAAGAGATAGGAATGGGACAGAGACAGATGGAAATGGGTTGAGTGAGAGGAGGGTGGGGGCAAAAACAAGTTAGCCTTATAGGAATATGGCACAGAGTAAGGTCCCCATCCCCAGTGCCCCTTGGTGGAGCAAAGGAAACGAGTGAGCTGAAAGGGTAGGCTGCTGTACACATTGGGCCTGGGAACCAAGCCTCCCCTGGCAGCCCCCCTCAACAGTGTTTTAATTCTCTGGGCTCTGATTTAGCATTAAGAACTGATATCTATACTTACGTGAGCTCCCCAGAACCACCATGGGAAATAATGACGTGGAGAGACAGTACTCAGAGGCAGCAGCAAACAGCACTCCCAAGCCCCTCCAAAGCAAGCAGCCTCTGTGAGGTTGAGGGCCAGAACTTCCAAAGAGGAATGACTAACCCCAGGCCCACGCCTGTCAGAGGCAATGACACCGATCCTCCAGACACCTCGGGGCTTAGGACGGAGCTGGGTCTCTCTCTTGAGTTTGGGGGCAGGGAGATGATCCAGTTCTCCTCTCCATTGGACTCTGAGACACCAGCAGGCCCCCTACTCTCTTTCTCCTCCCCAGACCCCACATAATTGCTTTCCCATGTTGCTAATAGAGGCCAGATTGATGATGCCCAAGCCCTGTGTGGGCGGTGGGTGGGTCAGGGCTGACCAAGGCTCTGAAGACAGGAAGGCAGCACAGGCCAGAGATCCCCGAACTTTAGCCCCACTACCACAAAGACAGGGAAGGCGGAGGCTCAGACCCATCCCAGGAATACAATGTCCTGGGTGAGAGTTTGTGACCCCCTCCTCCCTCCACCCGTTAAACCCAGAGTATAGGTTCAGGCCCAAGCCACACCTCACAGGAACCAGACAAACAGGCAAATAGGGGGTCCAGGGTACACGGGCAGGTCCACAGCCACTTCTCAGTATGTCCGTCCTGGGAGCCTCTTCCTGTGAATGAGGAGTCATGCATTCCCACAGTTGAGACTACTGTGCTTGAAAAGCCACAGGCCCCTCTACCCTGATATCAGGCCTTTGCTTTCGATAGGATCTCCCACCTGGAACACCCCTCTCCTCCTGTAGTGCCTGGTCTGGAAGACAGCTAGCCACCTTCACTCTGAGCCTCTCACCCAGCCCCAGGTCCTGTCGAGGCCTAACTCATCAGTGCTTGAGGCACTATGGATCCCTCCTCCTAGTGGCAGGGGAAGGGGCAGAGGCAGGCCTGGTGAGACCAGCAAGGAACCCATTTTCTGACCCTGCCTGAAAAAAGGGCTTGAATTGGCATATGTGTGTGTGGCATCATGGTATTAGCAGCTTAGTGTAGGTATGGTGCTCAGCACCTGCTGTGGGGAGTGTGTACACAAGTCAGTGTATCCATGGCTTTGACTCCATCTCTCTCTCGTCTCAGGAACCCAGAGCAAGGCCAACCCGGGTTGGGGCTCTGGTCTAATCCTTTCCTCCCATCCCCAGGCCAGAGGTACCTGCAAACTTGGCCCCAGCCTTAGGCATCCTCAGCTGAGGAGCTGTGGTGGGGTGGTTTCTACAAGGGGGCTATACCTGAGCAGGCCTGGGGCAGCCAGGAGCCCCTCCTCTGACAAGAAATCAGAAGGATCTTGGAATTCTAGTTTGAAAACTAGAGGTGTGGGCAGGGTACAGGGCTGGACCAAAGACTGGGCACCCTGTAAACCCAAAGCCTGCTCCTCTCCCGCTCACATGAAGTCCTGACTGTAATCTGACGCTGGGGTGAATCTTGTACCCCACATTTCTAGTCCTGAAGCACAGGTCCAGTCCCTAGTCACATTCCAAGTGGCCTCCTTCAGGCAGCTTCCTGGCCTGCCCAGGCCCAGAACGCTCTGCGCTCTGTGCCTTGTAGCTCAGATGAGCCCTAGGCCTGACCTGCTAGAAGCCCTGGACTGTATCTCCTGGATGGCAGGGATGACAGTCTTTCCTACCCCAAGGATAAAGTCTGGCCACCTCCCTTCTTGCATCTCTAGCCTCTATGGGTAAAGCCTAGGCATTCGTGGAAGGCAGCTCTGGAGATGACCCTTGACAGGCTGCTCCCGTCAGGATTCAGCAGCCTCTAGGACTGACTGGACATCCCCATGTGGGACCTGCCTCACTGGAACCCCTCAGTCCCTGCAACTCTGTCCGTGGCCTCCAGGGAGCCCTATCCTCCAAAGAAGCGGAAAGCTCCACACGTCTGCCTGAGAGCTAAACTGCCTCTCCCCCCCATATGGATGCCCAACTAGAATTTCTTCCCTCCTCCAGGCCTAGAAGGGGAGAGATCCTTGGAAGAAGGAAACCCTCCCAAAGTGGGTCTGTTCCAAGGACTCATGAAATGGTGACGTTTAATGAGAACCCCCCCACCCTCCCACCCCTGTATATACAACTATAAAAAATTCA